CTTCGCCCCTTCAGGCCTCGGCCCTCCTCGTTGAGCTCAGCATCCCAGTGAAACACTCTCCTAGAACCTTCCTGCTGGTCCTTTTACCGTGTGAGTTTGGTTCTGACGAATGCCTGCTGTCTTCTCTAGACTGGAAACTCCGCGAGGCCAGAGGACACATCTTTTGTCTCTCTCTCTCTCTCTGTCTTGCTCACCTTGTGACTAGCACCTGTACGTAATAGGTACTCAACCAGTAAGTCTGGACACACGTCTTTCATCATGTAAATCCTCCTCGCCTGCCTTGGGGCAGTTGACACAGTGAACTGTCCCCCCACCCTTTCCCTGACACGCGCTTGGGGTTCTCCCTCCGTCTCCCGCCACATCACTTCTCACGCCTGTGTTTCCTTTTCCTCTTGGCCTCTGATCGTATCTCCAGGCTTGGTCCTTGACCTCCAACTTGGCTCATTCTCCGTTTCCCCCTTTCACAACTCGATGGAGAAATTGTCCTCTTCCTGATCCTGCCCAGTCCTTGTCTCTGGCCCCGGGAAGCAAACGCACTCCCGGGTCTGAATTCCATCTGGCAACGAGGCGTTTCCTCCTGGCACGCCACAACCATAAATCCCGTACAAGTGGCCAGCCCGCCACCGCAGATGATCTCCTCGGCCCAGTTCTGTTAGCGGCGCCTCCGTTTTTCGAAGAACCTCCTTTTGCTTTCCAAGAAAGGTGTATGCCTTGGTGGCTAGAGGGCCCCCTGTTGGCCGAGCGCCCCGCGAGGGGCACAGGTGTGTCAGAGCGGAGGCAGGTGCCACTTCTGGCCGCATAAGAAGGTGGAGGCCACCTGGAATCTGGGGGCGGCCTGGGGGGGGGGGGGCGGGTGGGGGGGGGGGGGGAGGCTCGCCCTGGCTCCACCCAGGGGAGATTTGTCCTCACCACCCGGGGTCTGCAGAACCTCTGGACGTGAGCCAGACCTTCAGGGAAGGCCGAACGTTCACGGCATACTTGTTTGCAACAGGATTTCTCTCCGTAGGGAAGAGGGCACTATTTTTAAATGTTTTACTTGGAAATCATTGGAAACTTACGCAAGAGTTGTAAGAACAAGACTACTCTAGGGTTCCTGGCTGGCTCCGTTGGCAGAGAGTATGACCCTTGATCTCAGGGTGTTGAGTTCAAGCCCCACATTGGGCCTGGAGCCTACTTAAAACAAACAAACAAACAAACAAAAACAGAAGAAGAAGAACACAAACACTATGTCCTCACAGCCTCACACCCGTGGACTCGTTACCCAGACTCTTCCATTGTTAACATTTTGCCTCACTGGCCTTATCATTTGATCTCTCTCTGCATCTCCACGCACACATGCTTTCTCCGAACGCCGAGAGTAAACTGGGAAAGACATCATGGTCTTTTCCCACTAATACTTCAGTGTATTTTGGCATAAAGGGCTCAATCCTGAGAAGGATTTTTATTTTTTTTCAATACACACTACAGCACAGCTGTCCAACCTCAATAAACGGATAGAGCATTTGAACCCCATCTATTATATATTCCAATTGTGGTAAAGGACCCGGTCATGTCCTTTTTAAAATTCTCCCCCAGCACAGGATCTGTTCTAGGTCAGGTATTGCAATTTTGTTGTCCTGTGAAAGAGGCCAGTGTTTGCATCGGGATACACGAAAGCAGCCCCAATAGTCAAGGGGACGGGGGCTCATTCGAGTCTTACAAGTAAGAAGGTCCCTACAACCACAGCCCCCAGTCGCCGGTTTGGGTGCGATTCTGGAGTGGTATTCTTGGTTGGATCACTGCCTGCCTTCTAGTCCTTTCCTTTTCATTAAATATTAAGCAGATACAAAAGAATATAAAATACAAGAGGGGGTGCCTGGGTGGCTCGGTGCGTTGAGCGTCCGACTCTTGATTTCAGTTCTGATCACGATCCCAGAGTCAAGGGATCAAGCCCCGCATCAGGCTCCGCGCTGAGTGTAGGGCCTGCTTGGGATTCTCTCTCTCCCTCCCTCCCTGCCTCCCTCCACTCCTCTCCCCTACACCTGTTTGCACCCTCTCTCTCAAAAAAAAATTCTAAAATATATGCAAAGATCTAAAGGATCCCCATTCATTTTTGAAAACATTTTAAACATCTTTATTTAGTTTTGAGAGACAGAGCGTGAGCGGGGCAGGGGCAGAGAGAAGAGAGAGAGGGAGACACAGGATCTGAAGCAGGCTCCGAGCTGTCAGCACAGAGCCCGACAGAGCCCCACGTGGGGCTTGAACCCAGCAACTATGAGATCCTGACCTGAGCCGAAGTCGGATGCTCAACCGACTGAGCCACCCAGGCGCCCCCATGGATCCCAACTCAATACACACCTGTGTGCCCATCTTCCTGTGTAAGAAAGATGATTCCCATTCCCACCGCCCTCCCCACTCGGCTGCAGCCACTTTTCTCAAGGTGCGTCTGGCTAACACACACATTCATCTGCGCCTTGCTTCTTTCATTCAGCGCTGGGTACTTGACATTGATTCACGCTGCTTATGTTTCACGGTTCCTCATATGCTCCACAACCTAATCCTTCGTCCGCTTTGTGTTTTGCGGGTTGTCTTCCCCCCCCCCCCCGCCTTGTTAACTATTATTATTGGTGAATAGAGATCCTTAATTTGTATGAGATGGAATTTAGCTCTTCTCTTCTTTATGGCTTGTGCTCCTAGGTCTCATTCAAGAAATCTTTGCTCACTGCGAGGTTGTAAAGGCACTCCCTTGTCTTCAAAACCGTTTTATAGGGGCACCTGGGCGGCTCCGTCGGTTAAGCGTCCGACCTCGGCTCAGGTCATGACCTCACGGTTTGTGAGTTCGAGCCCCACATCGGGCTCTGTGCCGAGAGCTCAGAGCCTGGAGCCTGCTTCGGATTCTGTGTCTCCCTCTCGCTCTGTCCTTCCCCTGCTCGCTCACTCTCTCTTCCTCTCAAAAATAAACAGACATAAAAAGAAAGAGTTTTATACCCTGACTTTCACATTCATGTGTCTTAACCACTTGAGACGGATCCTTGTGAGTGTGGAATGAGGCAGAAGTCTAATTTTGTTGCCCCCCAGCCCCCCACGTAGATAACCCATTCTCCCAGTACCATCATCAAATAGCCCACCATCAGCCTGGCGATGTTCGATGCCTGCCAGGCCTTAACTCCCCTTTACACACACCTAGGTTTCTGGGCCCTTTATCTCTGTTCACTGGTCAGGTTGTTTATATTCAGGTCAGTATGTACCGTGTCAGTTCCTGTTTGGCTCCATAATAATGCGTGATAGCTGGTGAGGCAAGTCTCTCTACCTCATTCTTCTTCAGGCTATGCCATGGTCTTTGGTTCTCCGGCAGAAATGTTGGAATTAGCTTGTCAAGTTCCACAAACAAAACCCTGTGGATCACTTTGCAGGAAATCAACGTCTTGGGTAGATCGAGTCTCCCGATCCATGATTATAGTACGTCTCTCTCCACGTAATCTTTATGTCAATAAAGTTTTGTCATTCTCTCTATGAAGATTTGTACATTTTCACTGGACTTATTCCTAGACACGTTACATATTTTGATGTTCTAAATGACGATATTCTTGCTTACATATTGTCCCGACTCCATTCTGTCCCTCATAGACGGGGCTTCTTAAAGCACCGTTTCAACCTGTTGCGGTAGTACTCGAGACAGAAAGTGGCCCTGTGACTCCTGGTGAATCACGGCCCTTCTGACCCCACCTGAGTCCTCGAGCTTGACTTCAGTTAGACCCATCTCCTTACTTATTCTCCCCTTTGTGCCTTTATTCCCTCAATTCTTTCCATCTCCAGGAGACCGATGCCCTCCTCTCGGCCTGGTGACCTCCTTCCCGTTTGTGACACTTAGTCCAAATCCCGACCTGTTCTCGAAGCCTGATAAATCTATCACGTGGCATGCCCCTCCTCGATGATACACTACGGCTCCTCTAATCTACACTGAACCTCTGTACCTAATGGTGTACGTTTTTGTCCGTTAATAGTTGCACGGATAGGTCCTCATGTTTTCTGGTATTCCCAAATCGAGCCGGCCTGCCCGCCGTCGAGAACATCATGGCTGAGAGGATCAAAAGCGGGGGGGACAAGGAGGCAGAGCTCCCAGTAGCCCACACAGTGCGCGCGTGCAAGTTAGAGAAAGGCACCCACCCGGTCCTGTGAATCGGTGCACATCCTGGCGCGCAGGTCAAGGGCTGCACTGCAGCCCTCACTGACCTCTTCGGCCAGTGCCCTCGTGCAGTAAGCAGCCTCCACAACCGTGGCGGTGCTACCGGCAGGGCTTGGCACGATGCACGTCACCCCACCTCCGCGCTGCACTGTCCCCAGGGCCTAAAGGCCAACATGACGCGCCTCTACCAGCTGATGACGGAATCGCAGTTTTCCCGCTGCTCCAAACCTGCCAAGTATAAGAAGCTTCTGTTTGCCCTCTGCTTCTTCCATTCCGTGTTGCTGGAGCGCAGAAAGTTCCTGCAGCTCGGCTGGAACATCGTCTACGGCTTCAATGACTCTGACTTTGAGGTTTGTGCCAGCAGGGGGCCGGCATCCCAGCGCCCCCTCTCCTCACACTTCCCGCCTTGCGGCTCCTCCCCCTCCCCCCGCCCCGCCCCGCCCCCTGCCACCGAGGGAACTTCCTCCCCTAACTGTGTGTGGGGGTGGGGGTGGGGGCTGGGACCACGCACAGGTGTCGGAGAACTTGCTGAGTCTCTACCTGGAGGAGTACCAGGACACACCCTGGGATGCCCTCAAGTACCTCATCGCCGGCGTCAACTACGGCGGGCACGTCACCGATGACTGGGACCGGCGGCTGCTCACCACCTACATCAACGACTATTTCTGTGACCAGACTCTCTCAACCCCCTTCTACCGGTGAGGGGGAGGTGGCGCCGAACAGGGGGCCAGAGGACACCCGGCAGACCAGGTGGCAGGACCGGGGTTACGGGGAGCGGAGCGTTGGAGGGGAGGCCAGGAGGCGGGGGG